GAAAGGGGTCACAGGGGTCACCCATCACCCCCACACTCCTAAGGAGGGTAACATGCCACATTCTTCTCCAAAGATGAGAACAGCCTATAATCCCAGCTGGTAGAGTTTTTAATAAAACACTGACTGTTGGGGAGAGAAGACAGGCCTTGAATTTGGAATCCCGCCTCTGTACCTCCTTTATCACCCACGTGACTTTGGGCAAGACATTTAACTTCCCCAACCCTAAATTCTCATTTGTACAATAGGATCCTAATATCTCACTGAGTGGCCACGAGAACATGACATGACATATAGGAAAGTGCCCTGTGGAGAGTGGTTTCTCGTTAAATATCCTATCCCATCACTCTGGAAAGTTCGTTCTTCTACTGAGAGGAGATCTTTAGCATGTGACTCAGGAGCTACACACAGAACCAGTCTTCTCTCGTTGTTACCTGTAACTGCCTTTTGAACACCAGAAGACAAGGATAACTGAGGCAAGGTGTTTTTTCAAATGCCAACTATCATACTTCTTCCCACCGGAAGGTTACAGTAATGACTTGGAAAAGATCAATGGTCACCCTCATTAGGAAAATTTACCAGGTCTCTAATCCAGTAAAGATTTACTTAGTGTGTACAATGTGCCAAAAACTATGCTAGTGTCTAGACATCAGTTAAGAGACACGGTGTTTTCCCTAGAAGTTTATAATCTTCTGAGAAACAGATGTATACTAACTAATGACTGCATTATAGAGCTGTCTGCTAATAATTAAGTTCTCTATAAATTGCTAAATGAGTAAAAACGAAAACCACACAGGAGGCATCTTGGGTGAGTTCTCCACACCATGGCAATTTTTAAAAACTCAGTCTTGAGAACATTCATTCATTCATTCATTCATTCAGCAAACATTTATTAAAGACCTCCTATGTGCCAGATACACATCAGGTGCTGGGAATATAAAGGTGAATGCAAGTGAGGGATCCATACTCTCGGAGGTTAGAAGCTAATTTATGATCATTCTAGTTCAATGGGATAATTGTCTTAAAGATTAACTTCAACTTTCTCACTTGCCACGTGAATGAATTAACTATTTGAGGCGGTTACAGGATCCTACGCTTTCTAAGTCGGGTATCTTTCGGTGCACCCACTTAATCTAAAATCCTACAAGCAAACAAATTTCCTCGTTTAAAATTATGATTGCTTTCCCCTTCTCATGGTCCAAAGCTAAGCATGTTGTGATTAATCTTCAGGATTTCAAACGGGACCAACGGCCAACGTCTGGGAATATGCCAGATGCTGCAAGGCTGTATTTAGAGGGAGTGGAAGTAAGAAATTAAATTCAAGTCAGGTGAGGAAACGAAGAGGGGTCAAAAGCACACGCCGTGAGGCAAGGAGGCTATCTCCTCCTCACACCAGACCCCAACACTGTTGGCTGTGCACAGCGTCCAGCTACTGAAGCTTTCACTGTACCACCGTGGAGGGCTTGTAAAATGCTAGGGGAGACATGGAAAATCCTTGTTCTTGGCTATGAACTTCAATAAGTATTCCCAAGAGCAACAGATACAAATGAAGAGAGAAAGGTATAGTACATAACCTAAACTCTTCATGGAAGTAATTCAATTCGAGGAAGCAAGTGCACTCAGGATAGTGCAGCTGACCCCTGAGCAATGTGAGGTAAGCAGCGTTGACCCCATGCAGTTGAAAATATGTATGTGTAACATCTGACCACCCAAAAACCTAACTAATGGGGGCGCCTGGGTGGCTTGGTCGGTTAAGCGTTTGACTTCGGCTCAGGTCATGATCTCACAATTCATGGGTTCGAGCCCCGTGTCGGGTCCTGTGCTGACAGCTCAGAGCCTGGAGCCTGCTTCAGATTCTGTGTCTCCTTCTCCCTCTTTCCCTCCCCTGCTTGCACTCTCTCTCTCTCTCTCAAAAATAAACATTACAAAAAATTCAAAACTCTAACTACTAATAAATAGCCTACTGCTGACCAGAAGTCTTACCAGTAACAGAAAGAGTTGATTAGCACATACTTTGTATGTTGTGTGTATTATATACTGTATTCTTACGATAGAGTAACCCAGAGAAAAGAAGGTATCATTAAGAAAATCATAAGGAAGAGAAAATACACTTAAGAGTAACGTACTGTAATTATCAGGAAAATCCACACATGGCTGGACCCATGCAGTCCAAACCTGTGTTGGTCGAGCATCAGCAGTATTTCTTTTGTGCGTGTGTCCTACTCCACTACCTACAGCACACTCTCAAAGCAGTCACGTGTGCAAGAGTTACTGCATGAACTTGATGAAACCGCCAGGGCCACACTCCAGGTAAATTCAAACCAAGACAGCAAACGTGGTCATCGGTTATTTGAAGGCAACACTGTCGCGTGGCAGAAAGGCAACCATGTTGGAACCGCGGCCGCGGCGACAGTTAGTGCCTGGACGAGGGCCAGGCGAGGGGGGGCAGCCGAACAGTGAAGGCCACCTTTCTCCTACAAGCTCTCCAGCCCTGTCTGCTCCTGAAAGCATACAAGTGTCCTTCTGCACGGCCCCTGTCCCATCATCCACTGCAGTGAATGGAAAGGGGGGCGAATTAACGCAAGACGGTACTTTTCAGAACAATCGTTACAATGCCTTTCCCATTTGTTCATTTATCAATAAAAATCAGAGCTACAAATAGAAAAAGAAACAAGTGCCTTAAATTTCTCCCTCCCTTTCCTCCCCTGGACTTGAGCCTTTCAAGAAATATTTATCTGTATTCATCTAATTTCATCCTAGAAATCATTTTTTTAAAAAATTATTTATTTTGAGTGAGAGAGAGAGAGCTTGTGTGAACACAAGCAGGGAAGGGGCAGAGAGCAAGGGGGAGAGAGACTCTCCAACAGGCTCCCCGCTGCCAACACAGAGCCTGATGCGGGACCCAGTCTCACAAACTGGGAGATCGTGACCTGAACCCAAATGGAGAGTCAGATACTTAACAGACTGAGCCACCCAGTCGCTCCTAATTTCATTCCAGACTGACTGGGGTGTACACACCGAGAGAGAGGACATGCGTCTCGTTCACACAGCAGGAATTCAGTAGATCTTCTTGAGCGGAAAGGTGAAGTAATGAGTGGGAAGAAGGCAACAGCTCTTTCTGAAATGTGATTATGAAGCCACACAAGGACCTTGCCTGACTCATACCACACGGATGGTGCAGTGGGCCCAGGATCCGGGTTTTCCACACCCTCTGCCTGACAATTACGGCAGCACCATCCAGCCAGAACCCCATTAATCCAAACCTGAGAGAACTCAATGTAAGCTGAGCTGGAAAACCAAAGACACAGGCCCTACTAAGAGAAACTGAATAGCACTTTCTTCCCTTCGTAGTCTCTGCTATTTGCAAGGCACTCTGCATTTGTGGGAGAGCTTGAGGCATGATGATTACTGTCATTTGGTGGGAATACTGGGAAACAGGAACATGTCAAACTGTAAGGAAAACAAGGAGAAGAAGTGGAGGCCACGTCCTTCTCCAACTGAACAGCAAAATGGCGAAAGTACCGTGGGATTTATTTGTTGAGTATAATTCGCTGAGTTCCCAGGAGCCACTCTCTGCCAGGTATGGGGAGACAGAAGCTAACAGTCCCTGCCCCTCCAGAAGTCGTTGTGTAGGTGGGAAAGAGACACGTGACTGAGACACATGACCTCAGCAGTAACACTCAATACATCAGCTCCCACCTCCTCTGAATTCCCCTCATGAGAGCTGAGCTAGGTCTAGCAAGACAGACAGGAAGTACGAGATGAGAGTCTAGGCAGAGAAAGCAGCACGAGGAAAGCTCTGGAAGCTTGAGGGGACACAGCATATTCAGGGAAGTACAAAAAGTTCAGTTCGCCCAGGGCGAAGACTGCTCTTTCCAGTGGCTGTGGACCAAGCTGCAGATGCTGTCTGCGGCCCAGAGAGTTAATGCAGACTTTTAGACACCGTGCAAAGGGGTGCCGAGCACCCAGCAAGAAATTTCCCTGACTTAAAACATGAGAGCCCATCGGCTCTTGCTTTTAGCCTCGTCACCGCTTCTCCTTCCTTGACAACAGCTCATGCATTTTTTCTTTAATACTTTCAGCCAGTAATAAGAAACATCTATCCACTACTTATTTCCTTATTTATGTTAAACTCAGAGGTCAGAGGAAGAATCCCAGGCGGGTTGTATTCTTATTAAAAAACTCCTCTGCCCTTCCCCTCCACCCAGTTTTCACGGATATATTTTCTTTCTTTTATGTTAAGTCTATGAACCATATCAAAGAATTATTGAATGGTAAGTGGAAAAACTAATTTGCATTAATATAAAAAAATTGGGAACTTTTGTTTTCTTTGCTGAAAAACATTTCAACTATGAACCCATATTCAGCAGCAGCCCTTCAGAGGAAACACTTGAGGGTGAAAACAACTTGGTATGTGGAAGTGATTATTTTTTAAATGATTGGGTTACTCAGAGGCAATCTGGAGTGGACTATGAATAAATGTTACTTTAAAGTCCTGTAAGGGGCGCCTGGGTGGCGCAGTCGGTTAAGCGTCCGACTTCAGCCAGGTCACGATCTCGCGGTCCGTGAGTTCGAGCCCCGTCAGGCTCTGGGCTGATGGCTCGGAGCCTGGAGCCTGTTTCCGATTCTGTGTCTCCCTCTCTCTCTGCCCCTCCCCCATTCATGCTCTGTCTCTCTCTGTCCCAAAAATAAATAAACGTTAAAAAAAAACAAAACAATTAAAGTCCTGTAAGAGCTCGATAGCGTGTCTCCTTGATCCTGGTCTTGAACCTTCCCACTGGCCCCAATTCATCTTCCCTATCTTAGCTGTAAGCTACCTGATCTAAGAGATTATTTCTTTTTCATTTCTTATACTTCAAGTACCACATCTTATTTAGCACTCGATAAATGTTTGCTGAACTGAGGTGGAATGTTCAAGAACCACAACAAGGTAAGGGGGGCCGCTGGTTACAACATGCAATGCTATGTGAGGATTGCGTCAATCACATGACACCTTTACTTACATAATCTCCGTAGGTCTCTTGTGTTGGGGGTGGCGGCGGAGGTCTGTACCCAGTTGGGGGCACTCCTCTTGCTCTGGGAGTGAGAAGCCCTCTTCCCCGACTCACTGGCCCTCGGGTGGAAAGGACTCCTCTGGAAGCCGGCGTCCCTCGTGGTACACCAACTCCAACTGGCCGGGCTGTGACTCCTCCCCTTCCCCTGTAAGCAAGAGGGTCAAGTTAGCAATCTTCATCATAGTCTCTACCATTCCATGGTTCACATGCATTTATACCTCAGAAAAATCAATGTCCCATATTTCTGTAAAAAGAAACAAGGAAACCACACACAAAGTAAAAACTAAAGCAAATGAGAAACAGCTATCTACCAAAAGGAAGCCAAGTCACTTAGGCAGCTTATCCAGCAGCGATAAATATAATAACATCAAAGCATCCCCAAGACTCAATTTCTGGCTAAAATACAGAGTAGGAAGCTATGGACATCTGGGAAGGCTGCATCCACTCGGGACCCAGGCGGGGGTCACATCCAACCTCCATGCCAACACTATGAGCTGGGCTGCATTCTGCTTATCTATCAACAAGGAAACTGAGGCTGGAGAGATCTTCAAACTGAGAATACATAACTAGCAAAGCTAGGGACCAAAATATACATCAGAGTGCCATGAAAGAGAAAATTAAATGTACCTTCCCAAATAATGTATCTACCACAGAGTAATTTAAAATACCATTCTTTTTTTTTGTTAAACACCCTTCTCAAGCTGAATAAACAGATACTTTCTGAAGTAGAATTCAACATGTGTATTTATGTATTTCTAACATAAAATATGAGATTTCAAGTCAGAGAGCAAGGAAGGAGGCTGTACCAAGAATAGCCCAAAAAAGCAAAAACCTGAGAAAATGTGCAAGGTCTATGAAGAAATGAGAGAAAAATGAGGCTAAGACAGAGAATAAAAGATTTGGCCTCATCCATCTCCCACAGACAACATCCCCCAAATAAAGAGAACTATCATAGATAACATGGCTGCCTGCACATCTCCTATCTCCTTCTTTAGTTTCATTGGGATAGCAAATACACTGCTAAAGACTTAACAGAGAAAATTAACAAAACCAAAAGCTGGTTCTTTGAAAGGTTCAATAAAATTGATAAACCTCTAGATGTGCTAAACAAGAAAAATAAACAGTATCAGAAATGAAAGAGGGTCATCACTACTGACCCCAAGGACATTAAAGGATACGAAAAGATTAGAAACAATTTTAGGCTCAAGAGATGTGTTAACTTAGATGAAATGCACCAGTTCCTTGAAATATACAAATAACTAAATCCCACAAGTAGATAATTAAATAATCTGAAATATCTATTAAAGAGCTTTAATAAAAGAGTAATAATCTTAAAGAAAAAAAAGCACCAGACTCCAATGGAATTCACTGAATGAATTCTTTCATATATTAAAGAAAGAAAGAATATCAGTTCTCTACAATCTCTTCCAGAAAATAAAAATCAGAGGGAATACTTCCTTAACTCCTTCTATGAAGCTGGTCATTGCAAGTGCCTCCTGAAATTACTCCTGCATTACTACTCAGACACTGGGCCAATGGGGAGGACAGAAGTAACTGGTCTCTGCTTAGTCCTGAACCCTGGTGGGGACCTAGCAGAGGAGGCACCTCTCAAGATCTTTTTTCTAAGTCCCCTTCTGGGAGCCACAACTGGCCAGAGGGTTGGGTGGAGGGAACATGGGGGTCTAGAGAGGATGACACAGAACTGGCCTAGCTGATATCTGACCCCCCCAAGAAGAGATATGTCATCCAAGGGGGGACAAGGATAAGGCTCTCTGATAACCAAAGCCATTAAAGACTTTAAGAAATGGGGGGAAGAAAAACAACAACAACCCATAAATCATGATCTTTTTAAGAACAAAGGTGTACAATTCCTCAAAAATAGTAGCAAATTAAATCCAACAATATATCAAAAAATTATATACCATGACCAAATGGGATTTATTCCAGGTATGTAAGGCGAGTTCAACACTAGGAAACCAATGTGATCGACCACATCAACAAGGCTTAAAGAAAAAAAAAAAATCATATAATCATAAAGAGCAGAAAAAGCATCTAACAAAATGCAATACCAATTCATGAAAAAAATCAGCAAAGTAGGAAGAAGAAAATTTCCTCAAGTTGAAAAAAAATCTACAAAAACCTACAGCTACTATCCTCCTGAATGGTGACAAACTGAATACTTTCCCCTTAGGACTGGGAACAAGGCAAGGGTGGCCACCCTTACTACTCCTATTCAACGTGTACTGGAAGCCCTAATTCAATAAAAAGGAATAAAACTTGTAAGATTGTGGAAGAAGAAATAAAATTTTATTTACAGGTGACATAATTTCTATGTGAAAATCCCCAAAGAATCAACCATAACAAAATAAAACAAAGCAGCCAAAAACTCCTAGAGTTTATTTTTTTTATGTTTATTTATTTATTTTTGGGAAAGAGTGAGTGCGTGCACACACATGTGAGCAGGGGAGAGGCAGAGAGAGGCAGAGAGAGAGAAAGAGACAGAGACAGAGAATGAATGAATGAATGAATGAATGAATCCGGGGCTTGATTCCATGACTGCGAGATCATGACCTGGGCTGAAATTAAGAGTCAGATGCTTAAATGACTGAGCCACTCAGATGCCCCCTCCTAGAGCTTATTAATAAGCATAAAAACAAGGTCTTGGAATACAAAGCTAGTAAGTCAACAATATATACTCATATATATTTTACAGTACTCATTTTTGCAAGGTATATCCTAAAATTAGAACAATACAGAGAAGATTAGCCCAGTCCCTGCTCGAGAATGACATACCAATTTGTGAAGCGTTTCAGATTTTCCTATGCATGTGTGTGGGCAAGGGGCCTATGGGAAATATCTATACCTTCCTATCAATTTTGCTGTGGACCCGAAATTGCTCTAAAACAGTAAAGTCTTTAAAAAAATACATAATAACATTTATTAAAGCAACAAAAGAAATGGTTTAGTACATATCTAACAAAATATGTACAAGTGTTCTATGTAGAAAACCATAAAACTGTGATGAAATAAATCAAAAGAGAATAATCCCATGAGTAATCGTTGTTAGAGTCAATTCTTGCCAATTCTTCCCAGCTCGACCTATAGACTCAGTGTAATCCCAATCAAAATCCCAGAGAGCCACGCTGTAGACTGACAAATGTATTCTAGAGAATACGCAGAAAGGCAAGACCCAGAACAGACAACAAAATACCGAAGAAGAACTGTGAGCTGGAGGACTCACAGTATCTGATTTTAAGACTTATCATAAAGCTACGGTAATCAAGATAGTTAAGTATTGATGGAAAAACAGACACACAGAACAACGGAACCAAAGACAGCCCTGACACTGATCCAAAGAAATGTAGTCAAGTGACTACTGACCAAGGAGCAGAGACAATTAAATGGAGAAACAAGTCTTTTCACCAAATGGTGCTAAAACAAATGGATATCCATAGGCCTCAAAAAAAAAAAAAAAGAAAGAAAGAAAGAAAAAATAAGAGAAAAGAACCCATACATATCCTTCACAAAAATTACCTCAAAATGGATTTTGCTTATTGTTTTAAATATAGTGTATTGTCAAGTTAGCTGACATACAGTGTGTCAAGCATGCTCTTGGTAGATTCCCGTGATTCATCGCTTACATATGACACCCAGTGCTCATCTCAACAAGTGCCCTCCTCAATGCCCATCACCCACTTTCCACTCCCCCTTTCCTCCCCCCCCCATCAACCCTCAGTTTGTTCTATTTAAGAGTCTCTTATGGTTTGCCTTCCTCTCTGTTCAAAATGGATTTCACACCTCAATGTAAAATATAAAACTTGTAGAAGAAAATTCAGAAGAAATCAATGTGGGTTTGGTTTGATGAGTTTTTGGATACCATATGAAAAGCAGAATCTATGATATAATCTATGGTAAATTGGACTTTCTTAAAATTAAAAACTTCTGTTCTGAGAAAGACACTGTTAAGAGATGAAGAGACAAATCACAGAAAGGGAGAAAATATTTGCAAAACATATATCTGATAAAAAAAAAAAAAACAACAACAAACCTGTATCCAAAATATATAAAGAACTTTTAAAGCTCAGTAAGAAAACCCAATTTAAAAATGGGTAAAAGAACAGACAGCCCACTGAAGAAGTTATACAGATGGCAAATAGACAAATGTTCTGTATCATTTGTCATTAGGGAACTGAAAATTAAAACATATCTATTTGAATAATAAAATCAAAAAACTGAATACACCAACTGATGGTGAGGATGTGAAGGAAAGGTGCTCTCATGCATTGCTCATGGGCACACAGAAGAGGAAGACAGTTTGGCAGTTTCTTACAAAGCTAAATGAGATCTTACCACACAATCTGGCAACTGTATTCCTAGGTACTTACCCACCTGATTTGAAAATTTACTTCCACACAAAAACCTGCACAGGAATGTTTATTGCAGCTTTATGCCCTTTAAGAGGACAATCTACATTCATCAGTTAATGGACATTTGAGTTCTTTTCATAATTTGGCTGTTGTTGATAGTGCTGCTATAAACGCTGGGGTACATGTGCCATTATGAATCAGCACTCCTTGTATTCTTTGGGTAAATTCCTAGCAGTGCTATTGCTGGGTCGTAGGGTAAAAATTATAAACAGAGAGGGAGGCAAACCATAAGAGACTCGTAAATGCACAGAACAAACTGGGGGTTGATGCAGGGGGGAGGGCAGGGAAAATGGGTGATGGACATTGAGGGCACTTGGGATGAGCACTGGGTGTCGCATGTAAGTGATGAATCACGGGACTCCAAAAGCCAAGAGCACACTGTATATACACTGTATGTTAGCTAACTTGACAATAAATTATATGCTAAAAAAAAGTTTGATATTTTATAATTTATTTTGATGGAAAAAGTACTAAAAAGAAAAATAAGAATCTTCTGGAGGAAAGCTCCTCTCTAGGAATTTTGCTTAACTTGTATGAACTCAAGTGAATCAATTAAAGGTTTTCCCTGACCCCCCTCTCCAAAAAAAAGGGGTGAATGGATAAGCAAGCTAGGGTGCATGCGTACAATGGGAGTATTATTTGCAATAAAGAGAAATGAGCTCACAAACCAGGAAACAATATGGATGAATCTAAAATGTTTCTACATGAAAGAATCCAA